TATACCGTGGCAGAGAAGAAATCTTGTTGGATACGTCTGGTGGAGGAATGCAAAAGTCAGGATGCCCAGAGCCTGCTGGCTTAGGTGAGGGGCTGGCCACCACTGATTTCCTTGTCTGGGGCTGGAGATAAGACGTCCACAAGGTCACAGGGAAGCATCCAGGCATGACATCTCTCCACGCTCTCCACCTCATCCTGCAGCACCTGGCCCGCTCTCCCACCCTGCCTGCCCTCAAAGCCAGGGGCAGCAGGTGGCCTGCTGGTAGAAGTCTTCCTGCCCCTGAGCACCCTCTGTGCTAGGCTCCTAAAGCTGTCCAGATGCCCTGTGAGCTCCTAGCTCCCACCCCATGCTGCTCTTTGTCCTCAGAGGGGAACAGCCACTCTGCATGGAAGAGCGGCACTCCTGCTCCATCCCTCTCGCAGACCCTCCTACTGGGTGCACCTTGCATAAGCCACAAGGGGTGCACAAGGAACGCAGAGACAGTGGGGGAGAGGTTTTGAACAAGGCCAAGAGTGAAGCAATGACCAAGCCAGATGTGGAAGAGACGGGAGAAAGGGGATGCCAGCCTCTGACCCCTGCAGGGGCTAGTTTACTCCCAGAAAGTCTAGAAGCAGGTAACGAAGGCAGGACAGAGTTACTAGATTTTCTGGAGAATATACATTTTCTATGAACTGCTGCTAAGCAAAAAAAAAGGGTATGTGTGTGTGTCGCAGGGGGAATCATCTGCTGAGGAATCAGGCAGCCCAACTCCATAGCCAGTGTGTACACAGGTCACCTGCTGTGGCCTCCAGGCCCGGGGTCCCAGAGGTTAAGGCCACACACAGATGGAGACCCAGGTGCCACCTGCATTCTGTACCTACCTGCCAACATGCCAGCGCACCAACAAATGATAACTTTTTTTCCACTTTATGGATATAAAGAACTAGTTACCTTGCTTAGCATCACGCAAATAGCAGAAAGCAGAATGGGGAGGCTAAGATAACGATTGTTTCCAGTTTTAAAGGGAAATCATTTAAGGCACAACCTCAAAGACAGCTAACAGGATCTGGAGGGATGAAGTAAAAGCCAAACTATGGCCTCACGGCTGAGCTGCTTCCCGGAACTGTGGGCCCTCTGTCCCTCTGTTGCACCCCTGTTCTCTTTGGGGCCCCAGGCCTCCTACTTTCTCAGGGCGGGGCTGGGGTGAGCCTCTCTGGGACAGCCGAGGAACTTTAGCTGCCTCCAGGGTGTTTCAGTGACTCAACCGCTGCCAGGGCCTGCCCTGGTCTGAAAGCCAGCTGGTGAGTTCTAAACAATGGCAAGGGGTGTGGGCAGTGGGGGAGGCTTATGAATTGAAAATAGATGCTAGTAATCGCCAGGGAGCTTGCTGCAAGCATGTGCGGCTGTGTTTACTAGGGAGAAGAATACCTTCTATTCATGCGCAGAGACCGGGGTGGAACACCACGGCTTCTCACACCAAGCAGTGACCTCTGGGGCTGGGGGACGCAGCTGACAGACCAGGGTTTACTGATGGCTGGAAGACCCCTTTCCTGGAGACATGGACGTGCTCCCTCTCCTCAGCACCCCGGGGGCCAAACCCATCCCTGGAGGGACAGCTCCACATCAGGAAAAACGCATCACTGGAGGGGAAGTGGCAACCCAGAGACAGTCACCCTCCTCGGTGAGACAGACGTGCATACTGCATAAAACGGTCCCTGCTTGTGTTAGTGACTTTGGACCTCAGGGCTCGTCCACACGCTAGAAGCAGGGGATCTCCTCTCTCTACCATGAACTAGGCTGGGTGCCCTCAGGTAGGCGGCTTGCTGATTCCTCTAAGGCCTCAGGCTGCTAGTCTATAAAATGGAGGTAACTTCACAGGGCTGTTATTAAGATGAAGCAAACAGCACAGACGACAGAGCTTTAGAAAGCTGAAAGTTCTAAACACGGTACAACACCGTTACACGGTACAGCCATAGTAGTAACCATTTCCCCCACTACCATCCTGAACAGGGAGTCTGCCCCCACCCCAGCTCACCCACGAGCGCCTGGGTCTGGTCTTCCGGCAGCACGAAGAGAGCCCTGCCTGCCCTTCGGATATCTCGGCGGCGTGTGAAGCCTCGAGCCCCGTGGGGAAGCCTTGCGCAGAAGCTGCCCTGCCGAGGCGCCCGCCCCCGCACCCCCAGCCCCGCCGAGTTCCTGGTCAGCAAACATCCACAGCCCTCCGGCAGCTTACGGGCGCCCCCCGCCCACCCGCTCCGTCTGCTCAGGCAGCCAGTACAAGGTTCACAGTCACCCTTCCACTAAAACAGCTGTTGTACTAGAGACCCTTGCTTGACAGAAATGCTCCGATTTGAATTTTTAAATGTATCCGCTGACTCAACCGTGAGAGGTGCGCCTAGCGGCGGCTTCATACACACCATGTGCTCGTTAAGGGCTGAGCAACTCGGTTCGCTGCGCCGGGCCGCTCTGGGTCTCCAACCCGCAGAACCACATTAGCTGTTCAGCCGACACACCCAGATTTCACTCTTGGAACAGACTTCTCCACAGCTGGAATTAGGCTTGCAAATGACCCAGGGCCAGCATTTAAGTACTGTCTATGCAATGACCACTCCCAAATATATGTCTCCAGCCTGCATCTCTCCCAGAGACTCCAGACTCATGCATCTGACGGCTTATTTGGCATTTCCACATGGATGTTTAATAGCCACCAAACATAACATATCCAAAGCCTAGCTATGATTTCTGCCCTCCCCCAACAGTCCCTGCCGGATCATCTATGCCGTTGGCTATTTTCCCCAAATCAGTTAAATAGCAATTTCTTCTTTCCAACTGCCAGGCCAAACACCTGTGCACCATCTTTGCTTGTGCCCTTTCTGGGATGCCCCACATCCCCTGGAAACGCAGCTGGACCCCTGAAGCAAATCCAGGATCCAGCCATTTCTCCCTACCTCCACCTCTCCCACCCGGCTGCAAGCCACTGTCATGTCTGCCCTGGAGTATTCCAGCAGCTTCTAGCTGTACTTGGTGCTCACGACCTGGCTCGCCGCCTACACTCCGCACAGAAGCCAGAGTGATCTTCCTAAAGGGTGTGTTCAGACTCACCTTTACAAAACCTGATAACTTTCTACCTACTTAAGAAGAAAGCAAAACCCCCTTTCCAGGCCTACTAGGCCCTATGTGATCCGCCACCTTCCCCACCCATCTTTCAAAAACCCAACAAAAACTAAAGGGCCCCTATCTGCTGTCCTTTCTCCTCAGGAGAGCTGCAGGGATGCCCCCAATTCCACCATCTCCTCAATGCACTGACACTGGTTTCTCACCAGTTACCAGTGACCTCCACTTCCCTCCCCCGCTTGATACTGTCCGTGCACATTCCAAACCAGACCTGACCAGGTGCTCTTGCTCAGTACGTCCTTCTTTAAACTCCTTCCTCTTTTTTCTTCAATCGTCTGTCCCCAGGTTTACTCCTACGTATCTGCTGCTCTGTCCCTTAGATGTCGGATGCATCCTTGGCCTCCTCCTCACGTGATGTATCTCACTTGACCCTTTGAGGGTCTCGTCCACACCCATGCTTTCCAGCTCGGTGCTGGCTCCCAGAGTACTGCCCCCTTCCAGACCTGTCCCCCAGGAACCCGACTCTTTGGCGGGACAGCTCCCAAAGGCACCTGCAACTCAGTGCGTCCAAAACTGAAGCCATCACATCCCTCCACAAACATGCTCCTTCTCCCGTTTCCTCACTGAAGAACGCCCCATTCCTAAAGCTGCCAAGCCAGAAACACTAGAATCATCCTCTGCTCCTTCCGTTCCTGTCTTCCATGTCCACACTCTCACCTAGTACTCTGGATTCTTTTTTTTTTCATTTGTGCGGCCTTTGTTTATTTCCACAATATTCTTGGGTTTTACAGACAGTACTATTGATTCTAACTTCCGAGTGTCTTCTAAACTTGTCTGCTCCTTTCCAGCTCTCTGCTCCAGCCTTCACTTCTGCAGGAGCTCCAAAAATGGTTTCCTTGAGGGTACACCTGTCCCCCTTCCCAATCCATTGCCTACCTTGAGACCCAGAGTAACTTTCTCCTGCCTAATACCCTTTTGAGAGCTCCAAACTACCCTTGTGATCTGGCCTCTGCTTACCTGTGAGCCCCCACAAAGTGCTGGATACTCTGAACACAATGAGCCACTATTAGCCCCCAACACTAGGGGGCTTGCCTGCTTGCGTACATGCTACATCCGCCCTCCCCGCCTCACTCTCCCCAGGGCTTCCCTGGCTCAATCATCCTCCTTCCCCAAGAGTCAGTTCAATGGCTTCCTTCTTTGCCAACCCTCCCTCCCCACCCCAGGCTCCCAGAACCTCAGTCACAGTTTTAACCCCTATTCCATCCGTTCAGCCACCTGTCTCTCCCCTCTGTGGTGACCTCCATGAGGACAGCACCTCTGACTTGTTCATTCATAGAGTGCATAACAGGTATTTGATAAATCCTTGCTACATGAATGAAAGAATGAATATAGAAATCCAGGAAATAACCAAACTAGATTTCCTCCTAACCAAACAACCCTCTGTGGATCTTCCCCTGTCTTACTCTGCAAATGGTAATAATAATAATAACGATACTGTGCGAGGCTCCATTCCAAGTATTTTACATATATGAACCCATTTCTCCCTAGGGCCACTCTACTATGATTAAGCCCATTTTCAATTGAGAAACTGAGGTACAAAGAGGTTGAGCGACCAGTACAGCTAGGAAGTGGAAGGCAGAAGCCGGCGGTGCCAGTCTGTGCTCTAAATCACTGTACTACCGCTTCTTGGTAGCATATTTAAGGAACACAAACTAAAATTAGTATCAGCCTAAGCAAATATAATACTGAAAAGCCCCTAAACAAACAGAAATCAGACCTTGGGGGATCATCTCTTGCTTTTGGCTGAGTTCTACCTCTGATTCCTCAAAGGCAGGGCCCCCACTCAGCTCCCCAGGTCTAAGGCCCCAGCAGGTGCCCCCGAAAGCCCTCCTCGCGCCCCGCCTCACCTTGTCGCTCACACCCTCAGCCTCCTCGGCCAGGAGGTGCACGCTGCTAGCATCAGCCAGCAGCAGGGCCGTGTCGGTTGTGGAGGAGGAGCGGGGGCGGCACTGGTGCTGGTGCAGGATGGCAGCCAGGCTGCTGTCCTGGGGGGCCTTGCGCAGCAGATGGGGGCTGCCACGCTGGGGCTCCAGGGAGCTGCTCTTGGTGCGCCGGCTGCCGCCCCCGCTGCTGCCCCCGCCCCCGCTGCTGCTGTGCAGGCTGGCGCCCCGCTTGATGGAGGGCCGGGAGCGGATCTGCTGCAGCACGCGGTTGAAGGCGGTGGGCCGGGCGGGCAGGTCGTGCAAAGACATGGCGTAGGAGACGCGGTGCATCTCTGGGGAACGCTCCTTCTCGTCCGGGGAGTCATGGTCAGACATGCCCTGCTGCTGCTGCGAATCCTGAGACGTCTGGTGCTCTCTTTCCCTCGACCGGCGGCGGCTATGGAACAGGTGCTTCAGGCCGTGGCCGAACATGGAGCCCTCTGAGAGCTGCTGGATTTTCTGAAGAGGGAGAGAGGAAGAACCCCGGTGGGTGGGAAGCCCTCAATGCCTAGTTGGTGTAGGCAGAGGTGAGGGGTCTTTTCCTGGGAGATCAGTGTAGTCACTACAGCTGTCTGAATCTGGAAGATCCCTATGAAGGGCCCATCAGGACTAAGGGGTCACCTTGTAGAAAGGTGGCAGCTGAGAACCCCTTCCATTCCCAAAGCACCGCACCCCTATGGCCCCACAGACATTCTCAGTCACCACCTGGGTTCGGGGTCACTGGTCACGATATTCTTGTGTCTGTTCTGGCATTCAGCGGCACAAGCAGGCCGCACCTGGCTATGGGGCTGCAGCCTGCTGGACGGGCTCCCCGCTGCCCTCCAGCCCCTCTCCTAACTCAGGCCCTCCTTCAAGCTGCGCTCCTCTTTTAGATCCATTTCCACAGACTGCAACGCCCTCTGAGAGAGCCAGGGTCATTCTATCAGGTTACCCTGTTGTAGCAGACACTGCTAATTGCCTAATTGCTTTCTTAATATCAATTAATATTAAATAATACCAATTCCCTTTCTTTCTTATCAAAACACCTCATGACCTTGATGCACGGTGCTAAAAATTCTTGCTTCATCAGACTTCCTTGCTGGTAGGAGTAGCCATATAACACGGTTTGGCCAATAAAACCAAGGTGAGAGTTTAAATAAAACCAATGCTTTTGCCTTCTTAATAAAAGCACTGGCCCTGCCTACTTCTTCTCATCTGGAATGTGGAGGTAATGCCTGGAGATGCAGCAGCCATCCTGCAACCACACAATGACAGGCATGATGAAGGCCTACAACACAACACAGCTCCAAGGGACAGGCATGGGAACTTGATGGCCCTATGGAGCCGCCAAGCCAGCTGTGAAGCCTACCTGGCATTCTTGCTGTACAAAATTAATAAACCTATCTTTGGCTATATAATTTTCTATTTGTAGCCAATTTCATTCCTGATAAGAGTTAGCAAAAAAAAATAAAAATAAACTTTGGCACTTCTGAGTTGGTACACACATCCTTAGGCCAAGGATGGCACGCCCTGGCTCCAGCAGGACAGAAGCTCCTGCACTCAGAACCCTTCTGGACCTCATCCTGTGCACTTCTTCATCTGGCTGTTCATCTGTATCCTTTTTAATATCCTTTATAATAAACTGGAAAACATAAAAAATAAACTAACTTGACTTCTATGGGCATTCTGTGCCATGCAGTCAGTAATGTGATGCCTTCTTTTGCAAAAATATCAGAACCAGCTATCCAAATGTGTGTCTTTCTCCTCAGACTGGAACAAACCAAAGAGGCCACGGAGCCCAGTAGGGCCCCGGCCCCAGACTTCTCTCTTAGCTCTGAGATTCTCCACCTGCTCTCCAGGCACGACTGCTCAGAGAGGGGCCGGACCACCCGGCCAGCACGAGACCTGTGATGTGATTCCAAACAGCCGCTTCTATTGGGGTGGCTGATCAGGCCAGCCCGGGCCCTCGGCAGACAGCTTTGGAGCCAGTGGGAGGCAGGCTGGGACCTGGAGGACCGCGTGAGAACCTGTATTCTGTTATCCCTAAAATGAGACTCAGAACCCAGCCATTTGGGGCTTAATGAGCCAAATCAGGTCTTCATCTGTGAGGAACGACCCATAATCTCATGAGGAAGCCTCAGTCCTTTAAAAAATACAGCCCAAAGCATTTCATGTACTGGACTTTCATTTTTTTTAGGAACAAACTTACAGAGTAGAAAACTTAGACCATGAAAAAACCCAGAGAGAACCATCTTTGACCTTCCGAGTTAGCTGACCCTGCAGTTACTTTACACCTCAGCACTGTGTAGATGGCTGTGCTTATACATCTGGATGTTAGTTAGGAACTATATACCATATATTTGTGTAAAAGCTTCAGATTTTCATTTTTCAGCTCACTTGAGTCTCCCCACAATTCTCAAAGAAGGCGGGGCCTTTACATCACCTATTTGACATCATCACGTTAAGTTACATCATCACGAGTCACCAGGAACCAGTGAGTCTATTTTCAAGGTGCTCGTTCTCCTGCATTATCTCGCTTGAGCTTTCCGGACACGAACAGAAGAACAGCAGCACTTTCCACTTTGAGGTGAGAAAATTAAGGCTACCGCCACTCCTTCTCAGGAATTTCATTCTGGGGCGGCCCTGGAGACCTTAGGTTACCCAGGGCCGGGTTTTCCCACGGAGTCACTATCCCCTCAGGGCCAGCTGAAGGCAGGGCCAAGAGACCCACCTGAATCTGCTCTGGGTAGGACCGCGGGGCCAAGGCAGCCGGCCTGGGGAGGGCACCCTGCCATGGACTTGGAAATGGCCAGATCCTGCGGCCTCCAGACCAGGGATGAGCCTGGGCACGTCATCCCTTCTCAGGCCCAGGCTGATACCAGACCTCCCTCCAGGCATCAAGGACGGGGCCAGCTAGCTCTGGCCTTTCTTTGCTCAGCTGCTTCTGCCAAATGGTCACATTACATCTTTCTAGCATTCTATTCCAGGTCTCTTTCTCCTCTCCCCACCATTCCTAACCTGGCTTCTTCACCTGTCTTCTGTATCTACTCACGGAAAACGAGTTCCCTTCAAAGAACTTCATGAGAGGCATTTCCTCTCCTTAAGCCCCGGAAACAGGTGGAGGTGCTGTGGATAGCATTCACCTCTGTCTGCCATATTGCGTGGGATCCTAAAATCCTTGGTCAATTTGTTTTTAAAATTATACAGCATTTTTCAACCTGCTTTCTAATTTCTGATGTCATTCTAGCCTGTATGGTAGCCTCACCCCAGGAGGTAGGACATGACAGATTAGTATTAGTGTCTCCATTTTGCAGATGAAGAAACTGAGGCACAGCACGGTTGAGTGGCTCATTCATACTACACAGACGAATCCCAGCTTCTGGTCTTATTTACCTTCACTGGCTGATGCACTGACGCCAAGACTGAAGTAGCTAGGGTGTTTCCATGTGTCCCCGAACAGTATCATGGGCAGGATCAAAACAAATAAAAATGCCTTGGCCAGGGCAGTTTGGTCCCCTGAACTGCAGCGGCGGGTCTGCCCGTGCCACATTGTAGGACTCAGGCGAGACGTTTAACCACTATGGGCCTGCATAGCCCACCTTCCCACCTGGTCTGCAGGTGAGGGAAAAACCCAGGGATGGTGACCAGGTGACCACAGGACCTTTGCCCCAGCAGTCCCAAGGCACCTGCTGAGGTCTAGGCATGAGGAAAAAGGACAAACACGAGGTCAGAGAACAAGGGCAGAGGGGTGTTGCTCCAAATGAACCGGTTCTTCCTCCCTTACAAGGTGCAAAGCCAGAAAGCAGGGTGACACATTCCCTTACAAGGTGCAAGGCCAGAAAGCAGGGTGACACATGGGCAGGGCTGCTTCTGCCTGTGGGTTTCCGGGAGGAAATGGTTAAAGAGGTTTGACAGTGTTTAAAAAAAAACAAAACTCAGCACATACTATAACCAGCCACAAGTTTTGGGATGAGGAAAACCATGGTGACTAGCTTGAGGGAACTTTGCCACCAACGCAGCAGAAATCACCACCTGCTCTGACTAACAGGTTCCAGGGCCTAAATGTCACTTGCTTTTCCACGTTGACTTTTGCTTTTCCCCAGCTGCCAGAAACCGTTTTGGGGGCCAAAGGGAGCCATGTATAGGAAGAGAGCAGTGATGTTTCGGAGTTGAGGTGGGACGCAAACAGAGCTCTCCTAACCCGTGAGAATGAGCAACAACAGCCCCAGAACGTTCCAGAAAGGAGAGCTTCCCTGGAGTCAGGTGCCGAGACCTGGGGAGGGGTGGGAGGAAAGGCTGCTGCCTCCTGCCCTGGAACTATCTTTAAGGGCAGGAAGGAGCCGTCTTCTTAGGTGCCATCTCTCTCAGGAAGAAAGGATGAACTAGATGGTTTCTGAAATATCTTTCCAGAGAAGGCTGTGGTCTGTGAACAGTTAGGCTTCATCCGTTTTCCTCCCGGGGTGTGGGTCCCCCAAAGGGGAAGTCTGCTGCAAGATCTGCAAACACAGCTGCGTGAAGGCCAAGAGTAAAATGTTCTGGGTGCAGCGTCTTTAGCACCATCTGGTTAAAAATAGCCAAAAGTGGCTTCTAATTCCTACAGGTCCCTGTGTTGTTAACAACTCCCAGAAAAGCTGACAGGATCTTTAAAAAGTCACACTAACCTATAGCGTATTATCCTACCAGGCAGCTGACTGAATAGCCCTTCCTCCCACGTGGGCTGAAACTCTCTCTCTATCCCTACCACAGCTTCGGCTGGGAGGGTTCAGTGGGGGTGACTGGGTCACTGTGAGCCTTAGCAAGCCTAGGTCGCCAACGTTCCTCTATTTATAGGGTCTCTATGGAAACAGGACCAGCATTAGAGAGCTAATCGCTATAAAAACCCACAGAGAGAGTCCTACTCTCAGGATACATCGTGGATTGCAGAAGTCTCCTATTGCCCTTAAGAGGCTTTGGGTGGGGAACCTGCGTTTGGAGCTGGAGAGGAGACATCACCCTAGGCTTGGCATTAACAGCCACAATGATGGACAAGAGGGAACTGCTACAACCCTGCAGGCCTGTTTGGGGCTGCTATTAGAAATACAGTGATGAAAAATTTTTGGCACCATATTTTTCTTTCCTAGCATCACAGCTGACATAAAAAAACAAACAAACAACCGATCTCAACTCAGGGGGAATGATTTCCCCATTCCCAATTTTATTTTAATTCCTTGTTCCTTTATTGCTTAGAGAATTCTGCCTGGAGCCCATGCAAGTCAGAAGAGGTGGCACCATTCACCTGGGCTTTAGGCAGAACCGATTCAATATATCCCAGCAGAGAAGATTTTTATTAAAGTTACCTGCGTGCGTGCCCTCTGCCTCTTCTCACGCCACCCCCGTTGCACTGCCTCCCCTTCCACAAAGCCCCTCTGACCACCTCAGTAGGCGGTGACCTCTCCACCCTGCCCTGAACTCCAGAGAGCTCATTATCTGCACCACTCACC